CTATTCTCATGGGAAGAGTGTTTTTTATTAATTTTAGTTAGACGAAGTATTTAATTGGGATATTAAGTTTCAGAGTCCTTCCATTATCTGGTTTTGTGTATAGCCATAAAAGAAAACACTGTCATCAATTCAGAAGACTAATAGCTTTTGCTCATTTTAGAATGAATTTTTGTCAAAACAACGATACATATGCTATTGCTGTCTTCTTCCTCTTCCACCTCCACCTCTTCCTCTTCCAATTTCCATGAAAGTGGGACAAAGAGTCTGGACAGTGGCATAAAGTGATGAATGTATAGTGGTGTCATTCTGAACAGTCTTATTTTCACTAGAATATAAATTACTTCAATAGTCACTACTACTACAGCCAGAGCTATTGAACAGGATAATTCTGGTTTCTGATAGTGACACGGGATGCATCTATCTACAAGAGAACGAAAGCACATACAGTCTTCCATGTTCATACCTTGCAGTAAGCAATGTAAATCAACAGGCCTATCCCTCAAGGATAAGAAAGATCTTGTCACCACACTGAGCCCAGAGTAATCACTCTGTAACCATTCGGTTCCTTCCTTCCTGATTCCTGTTGAATTTAACCCAATAAAAATATGTATCACAAAAGAAAGGCAATAGTGTTAAAAAACAAAACAAAACAAAACTCTTTTATGGTCCAGGGAATAGGGAAGAAAAAATTTCCTAGAAGCTTCAGAAATTGGTCTTGTTTTCCAAAATTATAGGCAGCGCCAAGGTGTGATTTGGGGTAACTTAAAATGGGTTGCTGGCGAGACACTTGAGAGTCAAAGTAACTTTAGGGACCTCACAGTGGCACTGAGCTCCTGAGAGTTATCACTGGCTATTTTGTTTTTAAGGGAATCACCAGGTCTTGTTTCCAAAGGGGTCAACTTGTTTGACCTCTACCCTTAGCTCCTTGGCAAGTATCTGATTGCAGTTTTCACCACTCAGGAACGCCTGGGGCGTTTAGAGCCCCAATAATCTCCACCAGTCCTCATAACCCCATGAAAAGAAATAACCTCTTGAAATAGACAGAGCCCTTGCTACTGAATTGCAGATTAAAGAAGAAGCCTCCTTCATATGGAAGCCCCTGTATCACGGCCACAGCAGTCAATACTCCAGTGCTGCTGCAATGCAAAAGCGTGGTGTAATTTAAGTATCGTTTGTATTTGCATATTGCTCGTGGGAGAAAAGACTAATAGAAAGGACAAACATGGGGCTGGGGGGTAGACCTGGGTTTGACTACCTGTGTACTCATTAGTGAGTGACTACAGAAACTATGTGCCCTACATTTGAAATGGTCCTCACTGGGAAAGTCAAAATGACTGGCTTGTGAAGCCAGGGATACAAATTTCACAAGGCTAGGACTGATTGGTGCACACACAGAAGTGGGAGCTCTTAGTGCCTTGGAAACAGAGCCACCACCTATCTGTCCCTGGAGGCCTCGGTGACACCGCGATGCTGAACAGGTGCCAGCAGATCTTTGAGACTGAGGTGGGTTAAGAAGAAAAACCTAGCAATCAACTACAAAAAAACAAAAACAACAACCGGTAAAAACCCTTCAGATTTCAATGGCCTGATTAGTAACTAATCACGGGGATTCTTCAGGTCTGGGCAAGGTTTTGTTCGGCTGTAAAAGTCTGGGGCCCAGTAGATGCCAATAACTTGTTCCCTCCCCTATCTCTCCTCCGTGTTTTTTCATTTTATTTTATTTTATTTATTTATTTATTAAGCGTTTTATTGGGGGCTCACACAACTCTTATCACAATCCATACATACATCAACTGTGTAAAGCATATTTGTATATTCATTTCCCTCATCATTCTCAAAACATTTCCTCTCCACTTAAGCCCCTGGCATCAGGTCCTCATTTTCCCCCTCCCTCCCCACTCCCTTTCCCTCATGAGCCCTTGATAATTTATATATTTTTATTTTGTCATATCTTGCCCTGTCCGACGTCTCCCTTCACCCACTTTTCTGTTGTCCGTCCCCCAGGAAAGAGTTCACATGTAGATCCTTGTAATTGTTTCCCTCTTTCCAACCCAGCCTGCCTCTACCCTCCCAGTATTACCATTCTCACCGCTGGTCCTGAAGGGATCATCCACCCTGGATCCCCTGTGCTTCCAGTTCCTATCTGTACCAGTGCACATCCTCTGGTCTAGCCAGACTCTCTCCTCGTTATGCAATCTATTCACCGGACATAATCTCCCTCAGTTAAGATAAAACAGAAAAGGGAGGAACAAAAAAACAAAGAAGAAGAAGACATTTATCCGCACAACAGATTTATGGATAAACAGCTGGGATTAGACTTTGAAGTGTGGTGATACATCATGGCGATCAGAGGTATTCTACACTAAAACTGATTGAGGACAAGTCTGGGCCCCATCAAGAGGTCACAGAGACCCAGACACCTGCGCTCCCCTTTTCGGCTTCAGTAGGGTACCCGTGTTGGACAGACAGCACACAGTGCTGCTGGCTTCCCTTCAGGTCTCCGCTTCCTGTTGCACCCAAGCTAAATAGCGGGGCCCAGGGAATAATTCGGTTGACTTCTCCAGGTTGCTATAACAACACCATGGCCAGACTAGCAGGCCACTCTGCAGGAGTCGGATTAGCCTTTTCTAGACCTCTCACTCCTGCTCCTGGCACATCTTCCATCGCCTGTGAAGAGGGCAGGCTGCAGCCACCAGGCTGGAGCCAACGGTCTCACGCCGGCTCAAGCTAAAGAGAGGCTTTTGAAAGACTGCTGGGCTTCTCTCATGTACCGAATTCCAACAGAAGGCTTCAGATCTTTGGATAATTCCCTTCTTTCTGAGGGAACAAAGGGATACTTTGATACTATTTGCAGGGCTCTGTAGTAGTGGTTTAATGAAATGGAGGTTTTTTCCCCCCAAAAGTATTTCAGAGATGGTGGCACAGTAAAAAGAAGGCCTCTTGGTTCCTAAAAATTGTAAGAGACTTTCCCATCACATCACCCAGGAGAAGGATGAAGAGACGGAATGAACCACCATGCTGCTGCCGGGCCCCTGGCAGCACCTCCGTGACAGGAAAACTGACCCGCAAGCAACCTCTGTAGCAAGCAGGCCAGACAGTTCCAACTTGGTCAGGGACTCACTGACAGCTTCCTGACCTCTGCTTCTGATTCAGGACCAAGTAGAGTCACATGCTCCCCCAAGGAACCACACAAGATACTCCTGTGAAGAGGCAACCCATTTCCAGCTGCCCCAGGCACACAACCTCCAATCAGAGGATCCCTGAAATTCCTCCTCTTGTTAAAACAAAACCTCTATCGCAGGGGTCCTCAAACTTTTTGAACAGGGGGCCAGTTCACTGTCCCTCAGACCTGCTGGAGGGCCGCACTATAGTTTAAAGAAACACTATGAACAACTTCCTATGCACACTGCACATCTTATTGAAGTAAAAAAACAAACGGGGCAAAAACACCTGGGGGGCCAGATAAATATCCTCGGCGGGCTGCATGTGGCCCGCGGGCCTTAGTTTGAGGACGCCTGCTCTATCTTGTGAAGCAGGTGGGCATGTACAGATCAGAGCTTCACGTTTGCCCTCGACAACTTAGCAAGCCTCCCAAGGGCTTGCCCCATTCCCCTCCTCCCCCCATCTCCCTCTTGTAGGATCGGATTGTCCCCTTCACTCAGCTGTCTCACTCCCGTGACTACCTTTGGACTCAGCCCCATGGGAGAGCAGGTGGCTAACTCCCTTGTGACAGCAGGCTCTGAAGAAGAGCCTCTTGGGTTGTCTTCACTTACATCCACAAGGTCTATCGGCCTGTCTGTTATACATAGGTTACTTACTAGAACACGTTGTAAGACTTACAATCCTACACGGTGACTTAAGCAACCTAATACCAGCCGAGAAGTCTCTGGGAAACCTTAAACTCTGACCTCTGCAAACTTCCAAACTAGCCTTCAACCTTTTTCTTCCTTCCATTGTCTGGCTTCAACCATAACAAAGAACTAATTACAATCATAGAGCAATCAGCCATCATAGTCTCTGCAGAATTGTCCTCTTTCTAATAAGGAAATTTCCACGTGCCAGGAAACTGCTCAGCCCCAAGCAAACCTGGACAGTGCGTCCCCTCTTAGACTGCTTAATACACCACCAAGCTACAACCAAGCCGACTGCTGCAGAGCTGATTCCAACTCCAGTGGAAACGATAGGACACAGAACTGCCCCTTATCTCATAGTTCTATCTCTCCCTAGGTGGCTGGTAGGTACAAACTGGTGACTTACTGGTGAGCAGCCCAGCAGCTGACCCAGAGCACCACCAAGCACCACCAAGCAGGACTCCTCCACACGCCAGCCACACTGTCCCACAAATCTCCATTCAACAAGGACTTCACGGATCCAGACATGTCTTCTCTCCTCCCATTAACTGGGTCTCAATGGAGTGAGCACCTTTCAGCCAGCCCATCCCTGCTACTTGTTCACTCTGCCATAATCCCATCCTCCAACAGGATGGATCATCCCTCCCCTCAGACACATATCTCATGGTATAGGAGCCCTGGTGGCACCGTGGGTTAAACCTGGGGATGCTAACCAAAAGGTCAGTGGTTCCCAGCCAGCAGCCACTCTTTGGGAAGAGAGAGAGGAGGCAGGCTGCTTCTGTAAAGATTTACAACTTGAGAATTCCTAAGAAACAGTTCTCTGCTCTCTCACAGGGTCGATAGGAGTCAAAATCGTCTGTGGGCATCACCCTGACTTGGTTAGTGTGGAGTCCCCTGTACTCAATGTTTAATTCCTTGAGGACAGGACCTATTGCATGCTTCTGGGTGTCCCCAGCTCTGTGCCCCCAACACCAAGTTCAAGTCTGTTTGTGCCATGAGTAAATGCACTGGTGGATAATTCAATGTCCAACGGTGTGCCTTTATCTTTGTGAATGTAAAGGAGACAATTTGTGTACTCTTATAAGACATGGGAGCCCTATAAGACATGTCCTCCTCAGTCTGCTGTCATTGCCCGGGCTGTTTATCTACCTCAATCTGCGTGGTGTTGTCCTGCCCATCATCCGGCAGTAGGTCTGGGAAGCCTCTCGGCTCGGTGTTGTCTTGGCCCAGGCTTGCTCGGTTCGTGTCAACAGCCTTGAGGGAGTCCACGCTCCTTTTCCACCTGTGGCTGCCAGCGTGGGAGTACACTTCCACCTCTTCCTCTCTTTGAGGGAAGGCTTGATATTGCCAATCTGTTGGAAACATTAATAAAAGCAGGTTACCACTGGTTATGAATCATGCACGTGTTATCTACAAAAACAGAAAAATGAATCCTGCTTCTCGGGAGAAGTGGAAACGTGGAAAGGTAAAAGCTGTTTTATTGTAATACCTAAAGCTATCCTGCACATCTCCAAGTGCGATGCAGTTGCATGGTGCATTGTAAAGAGCCAAAAAGGATACTTTTCCCCTCGTGCCTAAAGCAGGTGAGCAGTCCGAGAGCTAAACATAGTGATCCCCCCTCCCCCAAGTCCCCACTCCCCACACTTCACAAGCACCCTTGTTCTGAGAAAACAGTCTAGAATCCAAAACAAAGGCGTGCACCCCAGCAATGTTCAGACCATTGGAACATGAAAAGTCGTGTTAACTGGCATCTTATGTGTGTTGTCCGTCGGTTTTGCTGGAAAGCAGAGACCACGATGCACTTGAGCTTGGGAAGCCGTGTATGGAGTTAGTATAGGGTGAATGTGCTCACCTCCCAGGGAGCTGACAAGTCAGACTTGGTTCATTGCCTGACTCACTTAATACGCTACACCCTCCGGAGTCATCACACAGGCGCCTGCTCGTTTCTGCTGCGTTCGCCTTGGAATCTTGTCAGGGTGGTCAAGAGTGGCAGTGATGGGCACTTAGAGGAATGCAGGGTCAGGCAAGGAGATCAAATCGCAAAGGCATTTAAAGCCATCTGCAGGGCTTGGCCTTGCTGACCCAACTCATCTTGCTACTACGGGAGGGAAAATTAGATTCAATCCTTACTTCTCGTCTTTCATTTCAGTAGGTCAGCGGGGGAAAGGATGCCACACGTAGGGGAAATTCCGCTTCTGACTAACAAGAACAGCCCTCTTCTACTCAACCATTACCGAGAGATGGGAATTGACAGGTTTTATAGCTGACAGGATAGGCATTCAAAAGGAGCTCGGAGAGCAAGGATTTCATGACAGCCGAGATTTCACCTTCAACACGAGAACATTCCAAGAGATGAAAATGCAGCTTTTAAGATCCTGGGATCAATTATTCAGAACACTAATAAACTCCTCCAGTGAGTTTCACAAAGGTAGCCAAGAGTCGGTTCTTGTCTACTAACTGCAGGTTGGTGGTTCAAGGCCATTCAGTGAAACCATGGAAACCCGCTACTATACCACGGCAGCCAAGAAAACCCGGGGTAGTACCATTCCACTTGGAAGCACTAGAGACCACCATGAGTTCGAATCAACTCGACATTTTTGCATTTATGCATTTCGCGGGAGTCCTGGGTGGTGGTGCCTATGGCCAGCACTTGATGCCAAACCCAAAGGTTAACCCAAACACTGGGGTTTCCACCCATGCACAGGTTCTCTGATGAAATGCCTGGGGATCTGCTACCCAAAGGCCCAGACCTTGATAACCCCACAGAAAACCCTTACCATGCACGGGGTCACCATGAGGGGGAATGAATTTGCTGGCAACTGGACAAAGTGGCATTTCCCAGGCTGTTACCCACAAGGCCAGCAGTTGGAAACCCCCAGTGGCTGCGCAGGAGAAAAGTGCGGCTTTCTACTCCTGTGACACGCACGGTCTCAGAAACTCACAGGGGCAGTTCTAGCCAGGCCTACAGGGTCAGCATTGACTCGAGGTGGTGAGTCTGTTTTGAACTTGGCTTACTCCTGTGTACGCCAAACTCCAACCACGTGATAGCTACCATTACTAATCACGTGCCTAGCCATCTGAAACGTCACCCGTTCAATGCAGAGTGGCCTTAAGAATTCTAGACAGAGAGCACAGTCTTTGGTTTTACGGTGAACATCATGGATTGCCGACCACCTGTTACCTTGGTGCTTAAAGCTTAAACCCAAAAGCGACCATTATGTCTGCAATCTAGCTCTTTCCCAGGTCACGTAGACTATCAGAGCTTGTACGGGTCAAAGCATGACTAATAACCACCCTGCAGGGCAGAGGAGGGCCGCCCCGGGGAGTTTCTGAGACTGTAGCTCTTGAGGGGAGTAAACCCCCTGTCTTTCTCCCACAGAGCGGTTGGTGGTTTAGAACTGCTGACCTGGAGCCCAGCTTATAACCATGAACACCGAGGCACCTCTCATAAGGGTCATAAACTCCACTGGAAGAGCTGGGCAGAGGTGGCTTTATAATCAATTTATAAAACTGCTTCCAGGTGACAACCGGAAGCATGGACACAAAAGTCCATCTTCTTGCCACTCCCAACCTCCAAATGCTAAGTGTACCACAAGCACAGATAATCATTCTGAGAGAAAATATTCCCTGTTTTCTTTCTTTAACACTATTGTTGCTCTTGGAGACTGAACAGAGCGTCTTCCTAAGCATTTGCTGACAGACTGAATCTGAGTGGAGGAGTGAATTGCTGACAGTCTCTTTGCACCGAGGTTCAGAGGACCCGGTAGAACTAAGTAATGGAAGAAATACCAGACAAAAGGTCAGGAGAGCTGGGCTGGATTACTTTGTGTTAGGCTTGCTGTCTGTGGGATGTACCAGGGTGGCATTCTCGGTGCCTCATTTGCCCCCAATTTAAAATGGGGAAGAATAGATCTGACCTGCAGAAGCAGGCAGTTTTTTGGTTTTGTTTTTTTGCCCGATGCATGCCAGGCTCTAAGACCTACGATTATCCAAGCAGCACTACATAAAGCAATTTTATGACTTTATTTATATGTCCTGCCTCATTACCAAAAATATATGAGGCGACTTACAACAGAGGTAAGCAATAAAGTTTTATAACAACTAGCTCAGACCTCAGAACCCAACCCTTTGGACAGTTGTAGGGGTGAACTCTGGCCTCTCACGGAGGAGGTTTGCTCTCAGCAATGCTATAACTGGCACAGCAATCTCAGTGCAAGTAACTGTGTTGGTAGGATGTCAATCTCAGTAAGAAATGGTTTTAAAGATGAATAGATTAAATGGCCCCAGAAATTATAAAATAAATGTTTTTTTAACCCCCCCCCCCCAAAAAAAAAAAAAGAAAGAAAAAACCCACACTCAAAGGGAATAACTTTAACCGGGGCAGATCCATGCTCTAGTAGGTGAATCAGTAAAAGAATCCCAGACACCTACAACGTCACAGAATTAGGTTAATATATGTATTTTTTTTCCCCAAACAGAACTTCAAAGTAACTTTCAGTTGCTTTCAGATAGGTGCTACAGTCTCTTCGGTGATTTTAATTTTACCATTTCTTCTTAGATATGTATAACACTAGTCAAAATATTATTTCCCATAATCCTAATTAGTCTCCATGATACCTGGGAGGCTAGCTCTGAAGGCTTCACACCAGCTCTTGTGGGGCTGACAGATGGCGTCAGGAGACAAATCACTAACATCAAAATTATCATCTGCTAGCAATTCTATTTCTCAACCTCCTTGCATCCATTACGCATTTCCCCCTCCCTTTCTTACTGTATGGGAGCAAGAGGGGGTCTTACTCCTGTAAAGACTCACTGTCTCAGAACCCCACAGGGGCAAGTCTCCCCTGCCCTCTAAGGTCTCCGTGGGTAGGGATCAACCCAATGGCAGTGAGGCTCTTTTTGTTTGTTCTTTCTTTTTTTCTTACTCCACGGGACTTTAAAAAGGAGCTTTGCCCTTCCGTTAAAATTTAGGAACTCTGATTAATGGGTTTGACTCTTATTTTTTTGTAGTGAGCATTTACAAGTCATTCTTTGGAAGGCTAATTGGGGAAGAGATTTAGTAAACAATTCTTCACCACTGGTCTGTGAATGTGCCCTCCGCTTTCAGGCTGGAAGCCAAGCTAAATTTGTTCCAGAGATCAGCAATGTCCTCTGGGGTAGGACTTCGTAGCTAGACTAAGACGAGAGGCCTAGTGATCCCCTTTAGATCATTAGCCAATTCAAATGTTACAAATCACAAGAGAACGTTTTCCGACTAGCATTTTACCGACTAGCATATTTCATACCTGTCATCAAGAGTGGTCAACTGCTGACCAAGAAGCCATCTGTGGTAAAGCAGAGAGCTGGCGAAGGAGACCATCAGGGGCCAGCACAGTATCCACACGAAGGACTCACACATGCCAACATTCATGAGTACTGTGTAGGCCCAGGTAAGACACTGCTGTTGTACACACATCTGTAGGATTTGACTGTCCTTTTCTCTCTCTTTACACGTCGATCTCAGTTTGGATCTTACAAAGTTATATGCTTACAAAAAAAGAGTGAAGAAAATTAAAAATGCATAAAAATACCCACTCCAAAGGGCTCATGGGTAAGGTTACCAGACGTTCCGCTTTTGGCGGGACAGTCCCAATTTTTAACAATTTTTCCCACGTCCCGTGGCGTTTTTTTAAAAGTCCCGATTTTTGGAAAGAATGCACGACAAGCTACGGTTTACGGGTTTCGGCTGCCATGGGGCTACTTCGCCAGGATATGAGTTTTATCAATGGTGTCCCGCTTTACCAATGTTAAAATCTGGTCACCTTATCATGGGTCACAAGAACATTAACTTCCATGATCCTGGGACCAGAAGAACTAGAGGGTCCCCAGCTATGACTGCTAACCACTCTGTAAGGGACCACAATAGGAGGTCCTGGATAGAGCTGGGGAAGAGGGGGATGTGGGGAAAATTAAAAACAATAAAGGGTGAGGATTCCTGGTCTGCTAGAGTCTGGTGGAAACCCGGCAAATTGTAGTCCATAGACACCCTCATGCCTAGAACCGAACTTACCCTACTTTCAGCCAAAGGACAAACAGGTCTATAAAGTGAACTGTCAATAACTCCAGGGAAGTACCCTCCTCTCCTTAGAACAGCGGTTCTCAACCTGTGGGTCGTGACCCCTTGGGGGGGGTGTCGAACAACCCTTTCATAGGGGTCACCAGATTCATAACAGTAGCAAAATTAGTTATGAAGTAGCAATAAAATAATTTATGGTTGGGAAGTCACCACAACACATTAAACTATATGAGGAACTGTATTAAAGCGTTACAGCATTAGGAAGGTTGAGAACCACTGCCTTAGAATAATCAATCA